CCTTAAATAACCTGGTTGGAACTGGATCTAACATCCAAGTTGAAGGCTAAGATGAAGACAGTAGTTTTGCTAACACTGCCTTATTAACCTGGTTTTTAATGTTTTCTTGATTAACTGCTTCCTTTTTGTATCCGCTTGATTACATCCCAAGTGTATCCTGTGTCAGATTTTCTATCAAACCAAAATGACTTTAATTTGATCAGTGCCTCACTAAAGCCTGTTTATTTTGCACATGGACCTGGGTTGCTTATTTTCAATTATGGTTTAATAATCCCTATTTACCATCATCAGTATATTTAATCTGTGTGCAAGAAATGTGAACTTGAAGGCTTCTGATTTCCTCCCTTTGCCATGGTGGATTATAATGTTTGTGTTTAAATAATAAGGGTGTTCCTTCAGGCTGTTCATTCTGAACTCTGGGCTGACTTAACTCATAGAGAAGTTTGCTAACTGATCTCACCTGCTCTAAAACTAAACTCCTGAATGTTACAATAATGAACACATGACTACATAAAATTGTCTGGGCCCATAGTTCAAAGAAAGAAAAACCAACAATATTCACATAGATGATTTGAATTTGAAAAAAAAAGTTGTGAAGGGTCACAATAAAGTCAGGAAGAAAATTATGTTTAAAAACTAGAAATCAAAGATTAAACCTGGTTAGAGTTAGAAAGTGTCTTTTTACGCTGTGTCTGGAGGTCCATGTTCATTGCTAAAGTAGAGAGCATCTTCTATAGATGCATCACTTCTCATAGATGGACAGTTTGATCGAAGTTGAAAGAAAACAAAAATACTGAAAGGGCTCCTAATCTAAATTTTTGCTCAACACATTTTTTTTCTAAAGATGAGATAAGACTAGAAGGAAGATTTGTCACACTAGTGTTTGCAGCCAGGGACGTAACTCAAAAATGTACAACTTAGGCTCTAGGAGAATGGTGTTTTCAAATTCTGATTGCCGAAAGAAAAGAAAACCCCACTATGTTTAAATAAATTATTTGAATTTGACAAAAAATGGTTGAATAAGATTCACAGTAAAAGAAGAAGAAAAATTATGTTTTAAAAACTAGAAATCAAAGATTAAACCTGGTTGGAGTTAGAAAGTGTCTTCTTACGCTGTGTCTGGAGGTCCATGTTCATTGCTAAAGTAGAGAGCATCTTCTTTAGACGCATCACTTTTCATAGATGGACAGTTTGATCCAGAAGGTTCTAAACCCTTTCTGTGATCGGGGCCTCTGAAACATAAACATTATGTGTGTGGAACGTATATAGATGTTAATGGGTAATAGAAAGCAGATTACTCTGAAAAGCAAATAACAATTATGACAAAACAAACCATGTCCTGTTAACCTGATTTTACCGTTAAGTATAACTATTTTTACCCTGCAAGCCTCCAATTCTGGAGGAATT